ACACAGACCTGGCCCGGGTCGGGCCGAACCGTGCAGCCCCGGGGCCGTGCGAGCGGCCACATCCCGCCGCCTCCGCCCTTCGAAGCCGCCTTTTACCCTGCTCCGTAGGCAGGGGAATAATTTGAAAATGAGGTGTAATCGCTTCCTACATTAGAGTTTTAAAACGCTTAAGTAGACGGGGCGAATTTCCTACGCTTTAATTACGGCACAATGTAACTGTTACTTCATAAATCTCTCGCCTGAATCTTTGTGCTTGCGAATCAAATCCCATGCCAGGAGAGAAGAGCTGTACAACGCTCGACTGTTGCTCCTTGGGAATGCGCAGGTTTTGAAAACTTTCTTTTTTCCCGTGCGATGGAAACGTTTCAGAACGTATCAGGGGTCTCTCAGACACGCTGGCTTCCCGGTCTTTAATTTGTTATGCATGTAATGAAATCGAGGAAAAACCGTGATCTCTGTTTTGTGCGTTCCCGTTCAAAGACGAGAGGTTTCGGACGTACTTTTTGATTTCTGCGTCTGGTTTTGGGTTCCGTGTCGAGGTGACGTTCGTGGCTCGTACTCGGTGCGGAGAGTAGCCGGGTCAGACCCTTTCAAATTCCAGACGCGGCGTGCAGACTGTGAGAACGCTTGCAAAGGGGTGAATGAGGCAGAGCGGGAAACGTCGTAGGCCCCAAAAGTGAACAACCACCTTATTACATACATTGCCTTACAAACAGTACACCGCCCTTGACGCTGTTCTATTTATTTTGCATTACATTTTTCTATTACCCTATTATTACACCGTTCCTTTCGTATCACTAATAACGCGCACTGCAGTATAGCCACGGCTGTATGGTTAAAGACAGAGTTAGAGTTAATATTCATCCTGCCACAATTTGTTTAAAAACGAAACAAAGTGTTAGCAGTCTCACTAAAAATGATGGGAACAGCTTGCCGTTCTTCAGTTAAGGACAGCCGTATGGCCGCAGCGCTGCCTCGGGTTCCAGGCCGAGCCTTCTGCGGTTCTGCTGAAGTAGTCCCAGTGTCCAGCGCAGAGGCTGCAAACTGTTGCTGCTGTTGGGATCCCACTGACCTCAACAGATCTGTTCAGGAATGATGTTATGGAAAATGGGTTATTTTCAAGGCTGGTGTTGGAAAGTATTTTTTATCTTTTTTCACTCCTTCAGTATTTATGCCTTCGTTTTCATAAAAAGTCACTGTTCTACTGTCAATACCAGTCTCACTTTAAAGTTTTGTTCAGCCTGAAAGATCACCTGATAAAAGTAATTTAAACATATTCACTATCTATAAATGGAGCAAATTGCTATTAATAAAAATGAATTAAATTATCAAAATACATTCTCCAGAGAGTTTAAAGGGGCAGAAAAGCTAAAAATTTTTAATCTGAGAGGTCATTTTCAGAACGCTGTTCACTAAAAGAAGATGCAAAGGAGATTCCGCTCCACTCCTTCCCCATAATAATACGGGTAAATAAAACTTTGGAAAGTCCTAGCATATAGACCAGTCTATTCAGGTAGTATTCAGGCTCGCTTACCACAGAGCTCATCCACATGTACATTAATTGCTTCATCTGTCACAAGTTTACTACCTTGCTAATTTAGAATGTACTCAGAAAAAATTTGTGTTAAATAAGGATATGAAAATGTGATTATTTTTGCAGTTTTTGCAACATTCTTTTTGCAAAAATATTTATTACAAGCAGGTGCAAAGTGAAATTTATGAACCGATTTCTTGCTGCACGTAGCGCTGACTTACTAGCTGTCCATTCGCTGGAGCGCAGTGAGTCTGGGGTGACGGTCTGTGACAGTAAAGTCTCACCAGAAGTATCTGACGTCCTTGGAGCTTTTCCCAGTCACCTGCAATTTGTGTTGCTCTGGGTGTAAATAGGTGAGCAAGGGACAGGAGAGAACATTGATTCATTTGTGCGAATCTAGCAAAGGGATATCTGGGATGGTGGAAAAATGGGGAAGGCACAGTCATAATTTATATGCCAGAAGGGCTACGGTGAAATAGGCTCTGTCTTTGGACTTCAGGGTAAAACTATTTTCCTCATCTCCTTTGGGCAAAGCTCATTACAAAAGCTGGGTCTTAAGCAGGCAGACAGCAGATTTCCCCCAGAGAAAAATGACTGTGGACTGAAAATTCCAGTTTTGTGTCGGTATTACCAAAGTCAGAGGCGCCTACAAGAGGAGTAGACCAGAAGGGAATCAAGCGTGTGTGCTTTACTTAGGCTTTCCAATTACACAACAGGAGCAGAGGGGATGTGCTTTAAAGCACCTTAACCAAGGATTTTGTGTCAGTGATAGGGAATTCTGCTGTTTCCAACAAGTATCAGCTATGCATTTTAAGCACCAGCAGCATTCCATGTTCACCTGTCCACAGCTTGTGAATAGCTCCATAGCTACTAGGCGAGCAAAGGACTTGTTCCCTAACCTTAGTCACGGAAGATAATATTTTACTTTTCAGGAGATCTCCTGCCAACTCCCTCTGCGTGAGAAAGACTAGAAGAATTGAGCCCAAAGAACAAGGTCTCCTGTACTTTCAAAATACATTTATTTGATCCCTCCTTTTAAACGATATATATTTGTTTTAACACATAGGATCCTGCAGGCTTTTTTCAGGCAAAACCCTTACTGACCTCCCAGGCTTGCCAGCCGGCA